TCTCTCTCTCTCTCTCTCTCTCTCTCTCTCTCTCTCTCTCTCTCTCTTTCTCGATGAGCGTGTGTGTTTTCTTGTATGCACATCGGTCGGTCTATACTACATTGATGTTAAAAACAAGCTCTTTGATCAACGTTATCGTTTAATTTATTTGAAATGTTGAGAGATTTTTACTTTCATTTTCGCTACGAGCGTCATCATCGTTGTCTTCGTTGTCGTTTATTTCTTCGGCTTCCTCGTCATTCAAATCGGAATCGTCGGATTTAACAAGTTCATAGGGTGGAAAGAATAAAGAATTAAGCAATGTTGCCGACGATTGATAGATGGCAGGAGCAAAGTTTTCAAAATTTAATAAACATTCAGTTTTTGACTGTGAATCCTTGCTGCAGATTCTGCTGGCTGTAGAGTCGTCTTCGGTTATATCTAATACGGCTGACTCTAGCGACGCCCACTGAGGTTGTTCCTATTTTCGGCGACGCATTTTACAGCGACTACTTTCTTCTGAGGAATCTTCCAATTCAATGGTAGCCGTTAAAGTCGTTGTACTCGCAGGCTCCTCTCTAGGATTTGTTCTCGGCTCTTCAACACTCTTTACCGTAGCGATTAAACATCTTAATTGCATCAGTTGCATGGCGGTGACTCGAGGACTACTGCAGTTTTCCAGCCACTGTAAAAACTTTTCGCCATGCTTTATGGCCTCACGTTGCTCACTGTCCGGGATACCATCACCATCATCTTCGTCGTCATCGTCGCCCTCTTCACAGAATTCAGTTAACTTAGCGCGTTCTTCTTCATCGGTTTTACTTGAGTTATTATTGTTATTGTTATGACCCAATTCGTCGAGATTGTGATCGCTATGATAACTTATATCCGATTCGCTAATGGTTGAAGATATATTGGGATTATTATTATTGTTATTGTTACTACTGTTGGTGTTGTTGTTGTTGTTTATCTTATAGAAAATATTATCTAACATTGTTTTGCATTCGTTTCCATTCATTTTATTCTTCCGTGGATGGTTTGTATTTTCACTATCCATATCTAATGCTGGGCTCGCATTAAGCCTAAAAGACTTAACGGCAATGGACTCTGGCTCTGTGCTAGGTTCTGGACTTTGCGCCGGTGTAGGTAAAGGGCTTGAATTAGTTTTAATTGTTTTTGCTGAAAGATCTTCGGGTTTATTGGTTAAGTCAACCATATTTGGTGAGACGACATTGCTTATGTGCTCAACAGAAGAAGAACTTTGCACCGAAGGACTAGGAGCCGAATCTTTCGTTAATTGCGAATAAAGGATATTCTCAAAACCGCTTTTTTGCCCACTATGGATATCTTCAGCGTTGTTACCGTCGGTTGTCGAACTTTTTACAGGCGGTACATTTTGTAAGGCATTGGCTTGAAAAGCCGCTGCAGGCGCTAGCGAAGTTAAGCTAGCTCCAAGAGCCTTATACCAATTCAACCAAGGTGCGTTTTTATCATCTAAACTACCGGAGGGCGTAGAAGAGGGCGTTAGAGGTGTAGGCATTATCGGAGGAGTACTGGTATGTAAATTACTATTTTGAGTTTGTGGCGTTGATGAACGTAGAGGAGGGCTGGTAGCGCCCAATTGTGGTGGCGGTGGTGGATATAAATTATTTAAACCCATTAAAGCCTGTTGCGATTTCAGCCAATACAGTAAAGGATCTTCAGTCATTGTTGGCAGCGATGGTATATTGTTATTTCCCATAGGCGTCGCTAGTAACACCGAGTTAGGGCTTTTCAATTGAGGTTTTACATCAGTTTGGGTTAAATTTAATCCATAACCACCGTCGGTAGAAGTTGGCGTCGAAGGTTTCTGTTTGGCCCAATTTTTAACTGTTAAACTAGGTTGTCTGTCCGAGTTGGCATTACTCTCGCCGCGAGAACTATTTACCTGATTTCCTGATTTTGGTTTATTAGTCTGCCTTAAAGTGTTTGCCGTTACAGCCAAACCATTTAATCCCGACATGGCCGCCAAACCGGGGTTAAGCTGAGCTAATAGACTTAAATTCGATGTCAGTTCGTTAAAACTAATTGCCAACGGGGACTGAGCCAATCCGGTTAGACCTGAGAGATGAGTCAGACTAGATAGTGGACTTATGGCTGTCATTGAAGGATCTGTGGGACGTGATATATCTGCACCAAAAACTTTTGCTTTATTGGCACCATTGAAACTAACATAATCTTGATTCATTGCTGGAAAGCCACTGTTCAGTTCACTTAGGGCTTTATTGGTCCCGTAATCTAAACCATTCAGTCCCTGATTCCTTTTAAAGGCCGCCAATTCATCAAATTTCAATTTATTAGAGAAATTTAAAGGCAACGCCGCATCTAAACGTTGCCTTTTCTCTGATGGTCCATTTAGAAGATTAGCACCTGCCTCCAGTTTATCATTAAATGATTCAGCCATTTTATCGGCTGCGGACTGACGGGACATGAAACGTAATTTATCCTCATTTTTACACCATCCCCTTAACGTCGATTCGGGTACACCGATATCTCGGGCTACCGAAGCTTTTGACTCGCCATCGTGTATACGTTGTATAGCATGAACTTTGTCACTAGGGGTCAAGCTCCTTAACGGACGCTTGCCCTTTGTGCTCATGCGTATGTTCATATGATGGGGAAAGCTGGAAATATCCAACTTTAGGCCGTTGTCGAACAGTTTGACTTCTGTAAGAAAAAAAGTTTTTTTTTTTTTAAATCTTTTTAAAATATATAGAAAAAGAAAAAAAATATAGCCCAGCATAAGCGAGCAATGTTGAAATTGCGGTGGACGTCAAGGCGAAAAGAGAAGTACCAAAATTTAAGGCTCCAGCATTGCCAGAACGAATAGTCGTCTTTTTATTATCAACTTTTCAATTTGTCATATTAACTTTCTTTTTCATCTGCTCTTGGTAGCTGTTAACATTTTTACGTCTACTCATCTAAAATTTCGAAATATTTGGAACTTTTAGTTTGTCCTTCATTTTCACTTAACAAACTGTTATCATTTTATCATAGGTTGAACAGTTTGCCCACTATTATCGCCTTAGTCACACAAAGGTGATGCATTTGTGTGTTAGTGTTAGATGATTTAATGAATGTCCTTTTACCTTTCCCGAAAGAAAGACAGTATTTTTGTCTGTTTCTTGTTGTTGTTGTTAATTTCTTTTCTTTTTCCCCTTTTTTTCATACAATCCTGCTTTCCACAAGAGAAGAAGGGAAGTCTATATAAGATAAAAGGACTTCAGTTTCTTTCTATTTCAATGTTCAATAGATAGACAGATAGTTATACCAATACGGATACCAATATTTGGACGGCTGGGAATCTCACGTCGATCACCAAGACCCTACGGCCTTAGATATTTGTGGAGCGAATTTTACACATTTGTCTTCTAAAGATTCGCAAAGCTGTGTATGAACGTTAATCCCCTGCATAATTAATCGCAAAGCATTCCGGATAAATTATACCTTGCATAAGCTGCGATTTGGGTAGATGAAGTTAGTGAGGATTTAGGAAATACCTGGAAGAGATGAAACCGCTTTGATAAAGTCCATTTTCATTTTGCCGATTGATTTAAAATGATTTTTTTCACTAGGTTACCTGGAAATTTTTAAAAAGGGCAGAAAAAACCCGACAATTGCTTAAGTCGCTTGAAATTCTGACATTGATCAAAAATGTAGGTATACTAATGTGTCAAAAAAGTAAGACCAATTCCTTCTTAAAAGTTTGGCGGAAGGAATTCACAAAGATAATCGAAGAAAAATCTTATATCTTCTTTCGGTCTTGGCTCACCTTTTATACGATATTCGCTCGATGAAGCGATTGTTTCGTACACGTAGATCCAAGTTACGTCTCCTGTTATAATGTGTTTCATGATCGGTTGATAGTTCAGAAATCATCTCCTCACACACAGTGTAAAGACCAGGAAAATTATTTTTCATGTCGTACGATACAAGGCCAGGCGCAACTGAAATACTAACGACGTTTATGATGCGAAATGTCACACGCATGGCTGTCACAGTGCTGTCACTTTAGAACAAAAACATTCCTAACATTCGATACTTGATAACTTGAATATTTATCTGTCTTTTTGGCATGATCTACTTTATCGAGGTATATGATATATAGTAATACACTCTACAAGATAATTTTCTGAGTTGACATTGCCTAATAATAATGATAAACAACCACTTATTGGGAATATAGAATAAAACTGTCGGTTCCATGTGAGTAAAGTGTAACTTCGCTCGATCCGTTTTCTGTCAAATTCAATTTCCATATAATATCTCTTTTAACCATTTATTTGTTGAATTATATGTTTTTTTTTTAACGAAAGCTCGCGTACTCGACCTGAGCTGCTAAGGCTATGAACTGCTTATGATGAAAAAGCAAGTAGTGGCTCCCTGTGCGTTTTTAGAAAATGTAAATTTTTATTACTCGTTAAAAAAATGGTAAATTTATGGCAAAATTTGGCAAAAGAATGAAACTTCGATATTTTTTAGTATGCGTGACATGGCCGATTTTTTCCATTTTCGTACCACCCACCACCAAAGGATGGAGCTGCACTCATTTCGTAAACGAAGCTTCAGAGACCCTATAAAGTATATATAATCTTGCTTAGCATGGAATTCTGAATCGATTAAACCATTTCTGCCCGTCTGTCCGTGATGGCATTTCTTTGGTCCAATAGCGACTTCTAATTTCGAGAAACGTTGGAAGTTTCTGAGCCAAATTGGTCAGAAGACAGTAACTGAACACAACTCGGTTTTTCTAAGCAAAAATTTATAGCATTTTGCTAATCAGAACACTATAAATTTCCACATTTGCTTTTCGGAAAATTCTAATATTCACCATGTTCATTCTAAGGTTCGGCCATGCCCACACCAAGTTATATGTGATCAAATTGGATTTTTTTTCATTTTTTGGGGATTTTTATTTTTCTAAATAATCATAAGGTACAGGCAAGACAGAATGTTCAAAATTAATTCGTATATACCTCAAATGAAAGTGTGTTATCTGCCCAAATAGGCGTTCATTCTAAAATAAATATACGACTGGATGACTTAAATTTTTCTAAACAATGCCATCGATATGGGTGTCGAATAAAAGGACTTGAGGAGTCGTATGTGACAAGCTCTAAGTCTGTTAGCTTTAAATTATATACTGCGGGCGTCGCGACGTTATGGACTAATTTTTTTTTAAGAGTACCATCGACAAGCTGAATATGTGAACTCAAAATTAATTGTGGTGAACCAAACGGCATGGTGGAATAATATTTTTATATAGCCATAAATAAAATCATTGGACGCTTTCGCTGGGTATGCGTGCTTCGGCTTCAACTGAATGTAAATTTCTTACATCTTTCGTTGCAGTTTATAAGTGATGAATGAAAAATTCAATTTTTGTTGTTGTCGGAGATGTTCTTAGTATATATTATATTGGGGCGGTTCTCTCAACCGATATATATTTTTTAAAAAGTGTGTATGGTCCCCATCTTCAAGGAAAAAAATTACAGTTGATTACAGGATTTATAACACGAATGCAAGTTTTGTTGTTTATATTAATGACGAGTATATTCGACAAAAAAATAGTTGAGAGGGGTTAACAAGCATGAAAATTAAGTTCGGATGATGTCGAATTTTTATTCTTGCTATCTTTTTTTAAAATCAAAAAAAAAGCATAAAAAATATTTGATAATGTTAAGGAGGCGCGGCGATCTTTTCCATTCTGTAGAACCACATGGAAGCTTCAGAGACCCCACGAAGTGTACGTATTCTATATCAGCACCAAATTCTGAATCGATGTAACGATCTGCTTCTCTATGTCTCTCTATATGGATAATGCCTGCTTTAAGCATTCTTTTGGCCGCCAAAGAAAAACAATCGGTTTCAAAATTGGCAGAAAAATTGCAAGTTCTTGCACGCAAGTTGATATTGAAAACGACCCAAATCGGCCGAAGGACAAACCTATACGCTGCCACGCAAACTAAGACTACCTTCCTTTTCCAAAAAGAGAGATAAAAATTAATTTTTTACTCATTACTCATACGCTGCAGCGGATATACCTATGAAAGTTTGTTCGTGGATTCTATGAGTGATGCACAATGTTATAATGTATCACAGTTTCATCGTTTTGCCAACATTTTTATAACGCCTGCAAGAAAGCTTAAGCATCCAGATTCTTTACCAGTATCAAATTCGTAATCCGCCCGAGTACGTCTTTCTGTCCGTCAGCCTGACTAAAAAACTGTCAGATTTTCAGACACCTTCACTGATTGGTGGCTGGAAAGCTGCGAAAGCGATAAGAATTTCTTAAACAAAGTGAAGTCGGGTGGTAAAATATATATTTACAGGCGTGGGTAGGTGCGTGGGTCTGGGGCTCCGGAAACCCAAGAAAAATAGTCAACCATAGTCTACTTGATCGTAAGTAGTGACAGTTTGGTACGTTTCCTCAGCCTTTTGTATAATTTCTTCGGAAACGCCGCTAAATGGATTATATCATCATCGGTGTTAACTAATTTCTTTTTTCTATCCTAAGAATTATGCTATGAATGTGGACGACGACTAATTTGAGAGGGACGACTCCACCTATCACACAACTCGTAAAACAATGACTCTATTACGCGATGGATTCAAAATTACAACACTTGCTGAAAGACCTTATAGAAGTCCCGAAATAGTAAGATTTGTTCGCAAACAGCCTGCTCGGTCTATTCATTAATAGCCGAATAGGATTTTATTTGTTAAAGATATTTCAAAAAGTTAAAAAAAAAATTTATAAGTAATGATTGTTAAGAAACCGTTTAGCCTCCAAGAAAGCCTTTGCTCGTAAAAGAGAAAATTTTTAAAAATTTATTTTGCAACTTTAATGACATGAAGTAGGCTACTAATAAGGAAGCAATAAGGAAACACCGCTAGGAATAGTTGGCTTTTGTAAGCGAATCCAAAAGGAAACATTTCAAATTATCAGCGTGCATTTGTTAAGATAAGAAATCATCTGCTATGCGCTAAATAAATACAACGGGACCGTCGAACAAGACGGCGCATAGGAAACATTGGGTAAACAAAAGTTAAAAAGAACTTTTTGTGGTTTTCCTTTGAACGCTAACTGAAAGTGGTGGCAGGTAATGCTTTGCTGTTGTCTGTTCTGTTGAATTTGTAGGCTTTGATCATAGACTTTGCCTTTCCTTGATATTCACTTTTGCGAATTATAAGAAGGAAAGTAGAAGAAAACCTATGCATCTTTTTTGCTTTTTTTCTTTTTCAATTAAATAAATCAACCATTACGACAAGAAGACATAGGAAGAAGAGAAGTAAAGTAAATCAAATGTTTGATTTGCATTTATTGTAAAGACGTATTTCAACGTTACATATGATAAATGATAAATTGAATACCTTTGACATTAAATAAATACGTTTAGTTTATATAAGTGCATTATCTACACGAGTGCTATCTGTAACTTCACTTATACAGAATATGTATATATATATATATATATATATATATATGAAGGACATTGCTATTCGCTGTTGTTTTACATATGTCAAGCACATTATATACAGGGGTTGATTACGTTTACAAGCCGTTATAAGTGCAATGAATTCGCATCCAATAAAAATGCGAAACATCCTCGAAACATGTGTAACTTTATTTTATATACGTCGCACGCCAAATTAGAGAGAACTTG